TGCTGCTGCTGCTGCTGCTGCTGCGGCTGCTGCTGCTGCTGCTGCTGATGCTGCTGCTGCTACTGCTGCTGCTACTGCTACTGCTACTGCTGCTGCTACTGCTGCTGCTGCGATTCTGACGGAAGTAGTTAGTTCAAGCTGAGTTTCACACCAAACCTTTATAGCCTCTGCAATGCGGAGCCGATTAGGACACAGTGAAACGCCCGCCGGAGACGCACAAGCCCGGGCCCCTTACATGGAGACCTTCAGCTCTAAACTCCCACACCCCAGATTGCATCCTAAACCTCCGGGCCTTCCAAAAGCCTGAAGCCCTTAAGTCTTCAGGCCTCGGCCCACAAGGCTTCCCGGAGCTGTGAGAGTGTAAGCCTCAGGTGGACGATTAAAGTGCGGCCCGTGCGTGTCATTGTGGACGACATGCAGTTTCGCTGCCTCAGGCCGGGAATCACATGACATACTTAGATGGTGGTGATGACCTCGACTAGGACTAGGACTTCGCGTTTATTTGGTGCTTTGTTCCCAAAACTTGAGGCCCATGTTGTCGTGTCCTGTTTAGCTCACTAGGTGGGTGTGGTGTCTTTCATGGCTGGCACGACTAGAAGGCTCCATTGCGAGTGATGGTTCAGGCAAGTTTTCCTCCTCTGTCAGATCACTGGTCACCCCGTACTTCCGTATTATGGAAACAAGGTCTCACCATGCCAGGTGCTTGTCAGGGAACCCTAGGTTAGAGCAGTCGGAAGGCAGGAGAGACACGGGGACCCCCGCGATCCGAATCCCACCCAAAAACCCCCTAAACCTAAAACCCTAAACTCTAAACGTACACTACATGGACACGTGTGTTGAGTGAAACAGCGCCAGTGTGAAGATGAGGAGGAAGGGAAGCCTAATTTCGGCATTTTGCTGACTGTGCAAGTTGGTTTGCGTGCTAAACTGTGCAATGCGACGAAGACGCGTTTTAGTTCTCAAGATGAGACAGTCCAGAGTAGCAACACAGAAAACCAGAACCATGCTGTACACCTGCAAGTCAGAGCTGGGTGACTAGTGACTGAGCTTTGCTTTGTTTAAGGGTGCTACTTGTTCCGGCTGGGTTTATGTGGGAGTTTCCGAAAATTA